TCAATTCACCTATCAAAAGAAATAGGTTGACAGAACGGATCAAGAAACATAATCCAACAATATGTTGTATACAAGAAACACATCTGACCCAAAAGGAAATGGATAGATTAAAAGTCAAAGGATGGGAAACAGAATTCCATGCAACAGGAACCCAGAAAAAAAAGGAGTAACTATTCTATTGCACACAATGTGAACTTCAAACCTAAAATAATTAATGGAAAAATTCAAAAGGAAGAACTAACAATTATAAATATAGACGTACCAAATACAGGAACACCCAACTATAAAAGACAAATATTAATAGACATGAAAAACCCAATACACAGGAACACAAACTATAAGAGGGGACCTTAATACCCCATTGTTACAAAGAGATAGATCATCTAAAAAAAAGTTAGCAAAGAAATAACAGAACTGAATCACACCTGTGAGCAATTGGACTTAGTAGATGTTTACAGAGTGTTCCACACAATCACATCAGAATACACATTATTCTCAGCTGCACATGGAATATTCTGCAAAATAGACCATATATTATCCCATAAAACATTCTTAAGGAAATGCAAAGCTATTGAAATTATCCCATGCATAATATCTGATGATAGCACACTGAAATTGGAAATTAATGGCAAAAGAAATTGCAAAACCTGAATAAATACATGGAGCTTAAATAACAACCTTCTGAACAACCAGTGGGCTACAGATGAAATTAGAGAAGAAATAAGTCAATACCTATAATTCAATGAAAATGTGAAAACAACATACTGTAAGCTGTGGTATGCAATGAAAGCAGTCTTAGGATGGAAATATATAGCAATAAATTGTCATATCAAGAAAACAGAATGAGCATAAATAAACAACCTAATGCTTCATCTCAAGCTTCTAGAAGAAGAGTAAGTTAAACCCAAAGCTCATAGAAGAGAGGAAATTATAAACATTAGATCAGAAATCAATGCAATTGAAACTAAAAATCAATACAAAGAATTAATGAATCAAAAAGCTGGTTTTTGAGAGAATAGGCCTCTAACCTTACCAAGAAAAAGAAAGAAAAAACCCAAATTCATGCAATAAGGACTAAAAAGAGGGAAATTACTACAGATCCCATGGAAATTCAAAAGCTCATGAATACCTACTTTAAAAATCTCTACTCATATGGAGTGGAAAACACAGAGAAAATGGACAGATTTCTAGAAACATACGAACTACCAAAGCTCAACCAAGAAGATATAGCAATTTGGAATAACCCAATATCAGCTATTGAAATTGAAAATGTAATTAAAAACTTACCAACAAAGAAAATCCCAGGGCCTAATGGATTCACAGCTGAATTCTATAAAAAAAATTTAGAGAAGATTGGATGTCAATACTCCTTAAACTCTTCAATGAAATTGAAAATGAAGCAGTCCTCCCTGAATCATTCCTGGAAGCAAATATAACTCTGATTTCAAAACCAGAGAAAGACCCAACCATAAAGGAGAACTATAGGCCAGTCTCACTAATGAACACTGATGCAAAGATTCTCAATACTGGCAAACAGAATGCAGCAAATCATCAAGAAGATTATACATCATGACCAAGTGAGATTCATTCCAGGAATGAAGGAATGGTTTAAGTTTCCCAAAGCAATAAATGTTATACACCACATCAACAGAACCAAAAACAAAAACCACATAGTTATCTCAATAGATACAGAAAAAGCTTTTGATAAAGTCCAAACATGTTCATGACAGAAACCCCTCAGAAACTCAGAATACACAGTATCTATCTCAATTTCATAAAGACAATCTATGACAAACCAACAGCCAACATTATACTAAATAGACAAAAACTGATTGCTTTCACTCTAAAATTAGGAACAAGACAAGGATGTCCACTATTACTACTCTTATTCAATATAGTTCTGGAAATACCAGCCAGGGCAATCAGACAAGAGAGAGAAATAAAAGGAATACAGATAAGAAAGGAAGAAGTTAAATTGTCACTATTTGCAGATGACATGATACTCTATATAAAAGACCCAAAAAAACTCCATTAAAAGACTACTAGAGGTAATAAACAAATTCAGCAGTGTAGCTGGATACAAAGTCAGTGCTCAAAAATCAATAGCATTCCTATTCACAAACAAAAAGCTCACCAAGAAAGAAATTATGGAAACATCGCTTTTCACAATAGCATCTAAAAAAATGTAATACTTAGGAATCAACCTAAGAATATAAAAGACTTATATGCTGAATGTTATGCTATGCTTAAAAAGGAGATTGAAGAGGATATTAGAAAATGGAAGGATATTCCGTGCTCTTCACTAGGAAGAAACAACATTGTGAAAGTGGCCATACTCCCAAAACTGTTATACAGATTTAACACAATCCCAATAAAAATACCCAGAAAATAACTCAAAGATTTAGACAAAACGCTCCTAAAATTGATTTGGAAACAGAAGAAACCTAGAATAGCAAAGACAATTCTGGGCAACAAAGGCAAGGCAGGAAGCCTCTCAATTCCTGACTTGAAACTATACTACAAAGCCACAGTGATAAAATCAGCATGTTACTGGCAAAGAAATAGACCTGAGGATCAATAGAACAAATTAGAAGATGCAAGCACAACAACAAAGACACTCAGACACTTGATATGTGACAAAGGGGCTAAACATTTTCATTAGAAGAAGGATAGCCTCTTTAATTAGTGGTGCTGGAAAAATTGGCTTTCCACATGCTGAAGACTGAAACTAAAGCCATACCTATCACTATGCACAAAAATAAAATCTAAATGGATCAGAGTTCTAAATATTAATGCAGAAACACTAAACCTACTATAAGACAAGGTAAGTAGAAATCTTGGAGACATAGAGGTAGGCAGAAAAGTCATGCACAAAATGCAAACTGCACAAGAAATACTTCAAAGAATCAACAACTGGTATCTCATATTATTAAAATGTTTTTGCACTTCACAAGAAATCACCAACATAGTGAAAAAATCCACAGAATGGGATTCTGCAACCCTTGCCAGCAACCCCTCAGACAAAGGACTTATATCCAGAACATATAAAGAATTGAAAAAAGTCAAGAGCCCCAAATTCAAAGACCCTCTCCAAAAATAGTCATCTGAGATGAACACACATTTCTCAGATGAAGACAATACAAATGGCAAATAAACACATGAGGAAATGTTCACCATCACTGGTCATCTGAGAAATGCAAATTAAAACAGCATTGAGATTTCATCTCACTCTGGAAAGAATGGCTTCCATCAAGAAATCAACTGATAACAAATGTTGTCGAGGCTGCAGGGAAAAAAGAACATGGCTCCATTGTTGTTGGGGGTATAGACTGGTGCAGCCACCATGGAAATCAGTATGGAGATTCCTCAAAAAACTAGGATTGAAAGTTCCATTCAACCCAGCTGTTCCCCTCCTGGGTATTTTACAAGAAAAACTGAAAAGGTCATATCACAGTGATACGTGCACCCACATTCATAGCAGCACAATTTGTCATAGTTAAATCTTGGAAACAACCAAAATGCCCATCAACTTCAGAGTGGATGAAAAATATGTGGTATTTTTATACAATAGAATATTACTCAACTACAAAAAGGATGATCTTGAGGTCTTCATAAGTAAATGGAGGCAACTTGAGACTATCCTCATAAGTGAAATAAATAAGAATCATATTTATGAATATCACATTGTATCTCTAGTTTAAAACTGTATAAACAATAAAACCAAAAATGTGTAATTGCTATTATAAAAAAGAGAGGAAAAGAAAGTGCTCTAAAGATATAACCACATGTATGCTTAAGTGTGTAAGATAGGCAATCATATTACTAAGTTTTTGTTGGATCATTGTATAGAACTGTTTGCTGTCTCATTGTTTGAATGTCCACTTTGTATGCTTTAATTTTGTAACTTGAACAACTATTTCTAAGATGACAGTATGTAATTTACCAGCTAGTGATTTCTTGCTGTTTATTTTTTTTGAAATTCTGTATTATTTCTACCCTTTTTTGTTTTGGTTTTTTTTTCTCTTTAAATAAAAATTTTAAAAAATTAAATGACATGCTTTATTGATTGATTGATTGATTATTGAGTTATGAGAGGGCTTTGTTCTCACCATAAGTACTTTAATAGACATGCAAATATTTTCTTCTAGGCTATGACTTGTCTTTTTTATTTCTTTAAATATTTTTTCTGAGGAGCAATACTTTAGACTAGATCCAGTTTATCATTTGTCATTTTCTGGGTTGTACTTTTGTGTAAAATAAATCTGTGTCTAATTCAGTCACAACGTATTATTCTACAATTTCTTCTGGAATTTTCATAATTTTAGATTATAAATTTAAACCGGGATCCATTTTACCTTATTTTTGATCTATGAATGGACACCTTTGGTGTCTAGATTAGTAGATTTTCTTGTATATAAATGCTGTTTGGGTATGAATGGACATTCAGTTGTTCCAATGTTTTTTTTTTCTGAAAATACTGTTGATATTTGGAAACTCAGAAGCTATGTGTGATTTCAAAGTTATAAATGACCTTCTTTATCAAATGCATGAAACTAAATTTTCTTTGATAAACGTACTGAATGAAATGTTGACATGATTTCACTGTGCTCCTGTTACATGATAAAACTTCAAGGGAAAGTTTAATAAAAAGAATAAGCTCTGAAGAACAATCATGAGGAATTATAAAATTAAAATTCTCAAAGCTTAAACCTGAGAATTTTACAAGTAAAACATTTTACTGATCAAAATTTCTTTTGGAGAGGCCAGGGATTTAGCTGAGTGGCACAAGCACCTGTTTGGCAAGCATGGAATTGAGAGTTTGATCCCCCATACAAAAAAAAAAAAATCTTGGCTACATGAAAAGAAGATTACTCTTCTCAAGTAAGACATAACATACTCTAATAGAGTCTTCAAAATGGGCAAGAATCCTGATAATAAAGTTCAAAAAGTATAGAATAAAAGAGCCTAACCAGGACAGGGTTCCCAGTGTAAGTACTCACCTCGTGAGAATGCCATTCCATCACTTCTGGACAGCGTCTCCTCACTGAGCTCTGTGTACTTGTGTGTGTGATGCTAAGGCTAGTGCCCCAGTGACTACAGCATAACTGGGCTGTTCACTCCCGCCATAGCTGTCACAATGGCTTTGTGACCCTGTGATTTTTCCACCACACCTTCAAGATTAACAGTCCTTCATAGGAATCAGTATCTGACTAGTCATATACTTCAGTCCCAAGCACACAGAGAGATAAAGAGGAATATCTATCTACCTTGGTGTCTAGAGCAGTAGATTTTCTTGAATATAAATGCTGTTTGGGTAATATAAAAATGGAACACAAATGTCCACCTTGATAAATTTGACTAATTTCTTAATTTTACAAGGAAGTAAATGACATTAAAAATCCCATCAAGATTATATGTAAACATGTTTTGTCTGAAATACCCAACACAGCTAAAGTATATCACATTTTATGTAATTCCTATGAAATATGCCCCTGAGGAGAAACTAGTTTGGTATTTTTCATCAAAGTATTTCCAGTTACTCAAACTGTCACTTTGATCTACATTGTGGGGTAAGCTGTGAGGTATTGGGAAGGACCAGAGGCCAAATCCTCAAAAGGAAATCTGTGGAATGAAATAGTCTTACTCTGTCTATAAACGTTTCTGTTTGCACTGGTCAGCATAAGAAAGCACAGATGTCTATTCCTGAGCATACCTACTCATCTTCCCAGGTAATTGTGGTCATCATTCAAAGTCTGAGAAAAAAAATCCAATATGAAAAAGTCCCTGCCAGTTCCCTACCTACGAAAAAAGCAGAAGACAAAAATGGTGTGCAGGATTACTACAGCTGTTACATAATTTTGTTTTCCTTCAGGCCTGCAGGTTGTGTGCTTCATTAATTCTGACTATGGTCTAATTTTTGCCTATGGCACTTGACCCTACTGTCCTGTTTTGCAAAAGCCTAAGTCACTATGATTTCTCTGGCACTGACCTTACTAAAGACTGGACATTTACAATACATAGAGTGAAATGGAAATAAACTGCTGAACAGGAAATTATATTGTTTGATCAATTCTGCATGCCTGTATCTGATAACCTGAGCAAGTATTTTGAAGACAACACTATACAGTGTAACAACCATGATTAAATTCCCATAATCTTGTTTTGAAATCCTATAGCACTATTCTTTCTATTGTTGTTGAGGATGATGTTGTTGTTAATATTGTTTGGTTTTTGTTGTTGCCTTTTTGTTGGTTTGCTTGATTGCCTTTTGATTTTTCTGTGCTTTTTTTCACACTTTAAAATTAAAAAAGACTTAATATTTTACCCAAAGAAAGTGATATTTTCATGGGAGGAAACTTGAAATAGAGAAGTATTTGGCTTCATTCATAAGGGTAGGATAAATTTTACAGAAGCCAGGATTCTCCATTTCCAGGCAGATTTTATTCACATTTTCAAATGAGGTAGTTAAGGTCCAGAAGGTTGAATATGCTGCATAATCCCTAGGTCAAATGAAGTGATAGAAATAGACTCCTCAGTCCCAGTATTATGCATGGATATTGTTCCACACTGTTTTCATCAGTTCAGATAGATTGGGTTATACTGCAGTAACAAATAGCTCCAAATCTCAAGAGTTTACATTAATGAAAATTTTCAACTTATAGCTATACTCAGGCACGGGGCTAGAAATCTATTGTGTGTCTTTATTCCCTAGGCCACACTGATGGAGATACACTGAATCATTGCTAGTTTTATTACAAAAGAAAAAGAAATAATGAAAAGGCACTTTCTGGCTTTCCGTGCTTATGGTAAGAAGTTACATCACTCCTACTCATTTCATGGTCAAGGAAGATACAAACCCAACCTTAACACTGATACAGGAGTGAAAGTAACATAGATGAGCAACAGATTCAGGGAACAATGTGGTCTCCTGGCATCCTTGTCTAGGTATGGCCTGCAGATCCACAAATCAGCATCACCTGCAAGTGGGAAAATGCAGATTCTCTGATTCACCCAAGCTAGTTTCCAGCATCTGTACCTTTAATAAGGCATTTGTGTGACTCATGTGCCATTGGAGTTTGAGAACCACTGCTCAAATGCACTGTCCACATTTATTTATTAAGTATCCAAAAACACAGCTAATTTCTTGTTTTGCTAAATTCTCATCCTGCTTAACTGTCTAACAATTTTAGAAATTACATGAAGATTGAGATGCATATGATCCCAACTTTATAAGTTTACATTCTATGTTGGTAAGGGTTCTCTAGAGGAAAAGAATCGATAGAAGTAGACATATAATTATGCAAAGGGATTTATTCGGTAGGTTTATAGGATCAGAGGTGAGTCATTAACAGTTGTGTGCACACTAGACAGGCACAGAACACATCCAGTAGCTACTCAGACCAAGAAGACGGAAACCATAGAACTAGAGGCCTCGGGAGGTTTGCAGCAACAGTCGAAGATCAGAGGCCAGGAAGCCCATTGCACAGGCACCGGTATGAATCTACGCTTGAAGCCTGAAACAACTGCACACTGGTGTTCAAAGGTGAGGGCAGGAAAGACACCCACTCAAGCAGACTGTAGCTCTTCAAAAATGGCCACACTTCCTTATTCATTCTCATTTATTCCAGGCAAGCTACAAGCCTATTGGTAGCTGCCACCCATAACAGAGGTGGGTACTCCCTGTTGGTTTGCTGGGCTACATGCCAATCATATCTGGAAACAACCTATAAATCCACAACTGCACTTTCTTAATTTGCTAGATATTTCTCATCCACAATCGAGTTGACATATCACAATTAATGGTCACACCTTTCTTTGATTTAAAATCAAGGGCATACTATAGATGCTCCTTGCCTTATACTTTTGCTTTTGTTATAACCTGAGACATAAACTCCACACCTTATAAAGTCTGTAAAATATTCTTAGGGTAACCTGTTTATTTCGGTAAAACTGCAGATTTCAAAAAATAAACAGTTATACTGATACTGTACAAAGAAAAAGTTTAAAGGATCTTCCAAGTCAGATTGCTAACCCTGTGCTATTTCTTTTTCTTACTGGTAAACAAGTGGTAAAAGCAGAGCCCAGGGTTGCAGTTCTGGGGAAGTCTCTGAAAACATACTTATGAATACTGGCAGGGCTTTTGAGTGAAAAGAACAGGCCATGATGTATAAAAGTTTTGGAGAAGGAAGAATTATTGTAAACAAGCATTTTACCTAAAGTTTTACAGAAAATCAAAAGTTACCTGGTGACGAGACACCAAGCAAAGAAGCAAGAGTATCATTTTGCTGCCCAGAACAGAGGCAATATACCCTTTAACTACTAGATAACAATTTGACCGTGGACAAACACTTACCTTTCTGAAGCTCAAGTCTATAAAAACCTTTATGTTATAATGGTTCTGTTCGTATCACGAACCTACACAACTTGCAGAGGAATTCTTCGTGTCCTGTCAGTTTTATCAATTTGGCTTCTGCTTAATAATTCTTTGGAACAAATGCTCTGCAGCTGGACAAAAACAAGGCCTTCACATTCTGTTGTTATTTTCAGTCTATGATTTCCCATCAGCAAGAAGGATAGCATTGCGATGGCAAGATTTATGTTCAGTGAGATGAAATAGAGCACATTAAACAATCAAGTGTACTGTTTTTCTTCAGAAAGTGGCAGATTTGCTTTTTGAAAAGATTCCCCTTCTATGTAGGGTGAAAACATCCTGAGAAATCAAACACATATAAAGAATATGAATTGTGATTAAACCTCATGCTGAATTGTGGCTCTCTTGTTCAAAAACCAGTTGCCCTGGCTAAATTCATGATATTTTCACTTAAAGTTTTATTCAATCATATAACACGTATGCACATTACATACAGAGAAATGGGACAGTGCAGTTGAGAAAAGCATATATAATTAAGGTGTACAATGTGTCACGTGTTAAAATACACATGGATTGTGAGATGATTACTACAACCAAGCTCATTGACACATCCATCACCTCATGTATTCATAGAAATTCTTTCTAACTTCTACTTGGAAATATTTCATAATATAGTGCATTCAAAAACACTCTTAAACAAAAATCAACTGTGCTCAGCATCTTCCTTTCAGACAGATTAAAACATTTAAGTGGATACCATTCTAAGCAATTCATTGGTGCCTCTAACATAAATGCATTTTAAAATTCACAAATGCCTTTTATTTTTTTCAATTTTTTATATTTTAGTTTTTAAAAACTTATTAGTGTATTGTGTAGTACAAAATTCTTACATTCTGGGGCTGGGGATTTAGCTCAGCGGCATAAGCGCCTGCCTTGCAAGCAGGCAGTCGTGAGTTCGATCCCTGGTACCGATAAAAAACGAAAAAGACAAAAACAAAAAAAAAAAAATTCTTACATTCCTTGTGGGCAGTTGGAACATGCACATAACATATCTTAGTTCTGCTGCTCATCCCCTTGACTTTATTCCTTCCCCGCTCCTCCCATGAACATTAGGTATTTTGAAAAATAAATTGACAATAATGAATATTCTCTTTCCTAACCTGTGGTCTCACCTTACAGATTGCAATGAGAACATTTTTACCTTAGTAAATTCGCGTCAGCATGATGATCTCTTAAAGATGTAAGTGCTAAATTGTTCTTCTCCAGTTACTCTCCCTTAGCTTCCCTTCCCCTGCTGCCTCAGTCCTTTCCTCTTGTCTAATAGCCTCCCTTCTACTCTAATGTCCTACTATTTGATTTTGCATATTGAGGAAAATATGACATTCATCTTTCTCAGTCGAGCTTATTTTACTGTACGTGATGATCTCCAGGTCTATGTTTTCCTACGTAGGCGTCTTTTGTTCTTTACAACTGAAAATGCTCCATTCTATTTCTCCACTCGTCTGTTGATGAGCCCTTAGGCTGGTTCTGTATCTCGGCTGTTGTGAACCATGCCTCCCTAAACAAGAGTATAAAGGCATTCCCGTAGTGTGCCAACTTTACCCCTCCCAGAACTGATTGATGTAATAGGATCACATGGCAATTCAACTTTTAGTTTTTTAAGGAAGCTCCACATTGATTTTCACAGTGGTTGTACTAATTTGCATTCTCACCGGTAGTGTAGATGACTGTTTTTACCT